CTACTACTGCTGCTGATACTACTACTACTACTACTACTGCTACAACTTCCACTACTACTAGCCACCCCCTCCCCCCTACCAACTACGCTTGTGGAAGCAGGGTTCTGGAGGAAGAGCTTTTGTGGCCAGGTTCCTGCGCTTCTGAGACGCAGGGTTCGGTGGGGATCTTCTGTGCGACCAAGCCACTTCTGAGGTAGGACATGACGAAAGTACTGTAATCACACAGAAAATGGATGTGTTCTTTCAGGAAGTGTTCGCGGTGTGCGCGCTTTAGTGTGGTCATTACCCACCCCCCCCCACCCACCCCCCACCCCACTCCTAAACACTCCCCGAAGCTTTCAGAAATCCCAAGCTCGAGTTTACAAAGTCGACAAATGGATTTTAAGGCCATAAGATGTAGTACGACATGCTGAAAGTGCTGTAAATACCGTGTAAACTGGATGTGCCTGTAAGTTGATGATGAGCAAGTGTAGTTGATGGGGGGTGCCTCCTCCTACTACTACTACTACTACGACGACGACGACGACTACTACTACTACTACTCCTGCTACTCCTGCTACTACTACGACTACGTTTTCGGAGGAGCAGGCCGAGAACTGCTACAACTGTAGAACTCCTGGATAGAAGCTGTTACGTGTGCTGAGACAGCAGCAAGTTTACGGCCCGGCCGGTTTTCGTAGGTAGATGTAGGTTGGTCATGGCCAGAGTGCCAACATGGCCTTTAGCTGGCTTAGCGGACAATTATAAGGCTGTACAGCTGGATGTTTCTTGACCTCGAGAGCGTTTCAAAGCACTGAACGTTGAACGATTCCACCATCTTACTTTCGTGACTCTCGTTGGGGCAGCTGCAGTCGACTCCCAGCAGTATTTCTTTTCGACTGACAGAAAGAAGCCTAGCGCCTGCGGTGCCTCGTGCCGGTAGGAGCGCTGCAGATCTCTTCAGAAGCAATGCTCAAAAGTGCAGGTCCGAGACAGGACGGCGCCAGCGGCGGCCACCCTCGGCAACTTTCGGCTGTGCTGACCGTGATGCGGCGCGGTGGGTCAACCGAGGGGCCGACTGGTAGTGCTGGCATTGCACGGAATGGCGGCACCTGCGACTATCGACAGTAAGCTCAAATGGCATCAACTTGTGCCCTGCACGGCCGCAACATGCAAAGTCCTAGAACCTGTCGAAGAGTGCGAAGGCTTCGAGAAGACCTTGGCGATGCTAGGCGAGTCAGTACAGTGTGTCCGTCCCCTGGGCAGGCAAGAAAGGTGGTCGTGGCAGTGCCTTGGATTGGATTGAGAGACCAGTGTGCCCTGTCGTAGCTTCACATGGATGCCTCAGTAAGCCGGCACTGTGAAACGCGGGGACAAAGCTGCTATGTATCTAAGCGTTTTGGCATCCGAGGCAGAAAGGCCGCTCTCCGCGCGCCTGCCGTCGAGCACTGAGCTGGGGGAAGTGTGTAGACGGGTAGACAGATGTAGACAGCGGTATCCTGCGGTCCGCCTGCGGTATCCTGCGGCGTCTCTGGCTCAGGCCGCGGCTTCCGCACCCTGTGCTGGTGCCGCGACAGGCCCATGCCTCTCTGACGCTCTCCGCACACTGCGCATGGAGTCCTAAAGCCTACATTTAGCGCAGGAGATGATGAAGTTTGACCCCACCGGCCAGCGCTAAAGTCTGGACCCTCTCACCAAGGGGCCGCATGACGAGTGATCGGCATTGAATTCAGAGAAAATTCGTTTCTGCAAAGACTCAAGGCATGATGCGAGATGTTGGCCGAAGTTCAGCTCCGTCGGTAGTGGTTGTGGCAGGCAAGAAGCTTTAGCTAATTTCGAACGTCAACAATAATTAGCTGGCTGCGACATGCTGCGACCATGACCCGGATTCAGTTGCGGTCTCGGAGTAAAGCAGGTAGTCACAAGTCGGAAATCAGCGCGCATGCCGGACGAGGTGTCTGTAGCTCACTACCAGGGCTGACTGTCAGCGGGATGATGCCGCGGGACCACAAGTGTCAGCAGCTCTTCAAAAAGCCGGTGCGGCATCGTGATTCTCGCGAGCACGGAACGCAACCCCCAAACATCCGGGGGCTGGGGGGGCCATTCTTGACGCACTTTTCAAACAT